GTATTCTACCATATGCTAGCCTGTGGTATATTTTTTTTATTCCTATTCCTTTACTGTTGACAGCCAACCTGGTCCTGTCTTGTGTCAGAAATGCAAGAACTAGAAAGGGGGAAATTATTAAATTTAAAAAGATTAAAAACTTTAATAAAACATAGATTTATAGCGTTCTAGCCCAATGCCAAACCACATTAATAGCAGGGATATTTCTGACCAGCAAGTCATTCTGTGTGCATGTTGATCCCAGGGGGATAGCTATAAAAGATTGATAGCTATTTGAATAGAGCCACATTTGCAGTAAATATCCTAGTCGTTTAGGAGAAACCCCCATTTTTCCATGTCCTTAGTTCTAGCCAAACTAGTGCACAGTCTATTTAAACATTCTTATAGTGGGGACGAATGAAAATCAGGATGGTTGGGCTAGTAGGATATGATGTACTGTGACATCACTAATGGTGACAGAGAGAAAGGAGGAAAGATGTTGAGATCAGTGGGTGCATGGCTAGTGGGATATATTGTGTTTGGAGCTGCTGAGACAATTGAAAAACATATACAGACCATTCAGAAGAGGCATCAGCGGCACCATCGTTGTTAAAGAAAGAAAGACTGAAGCATACTTGGCTTTGCTCCAAAAAATTCACCCAGAATCACTTTTTTCAACTCAGGGCAAGAAAAACATGTTGAATTTTATTTCTGCTGCATTGTGACAGATCTAAAAAAGTGTAGAACTCATTGAACGTGATGTATTTGTTTTGGACTGAAAATAAAATTCATTTCTGATTTGTGCATATTGCTAATACACATTAAAGTAATATTTATTGTGTTTAACATTGTAAAAATAATTTTTAAGTAACAGAGCAAATAAAATGTGAGTTAGGATTACTGGAATCAATTATGTAGGAAGATGGTAGACTCCCTTTTAATAGATGTATTCAAACAGAGACTAAGTACTTAGTTTTAATTTCTGTAGTTATACTGGACGGAATTGGACTCTATGTCCTAGGATTTCTTCCAATATTCTAATCAAGTAGCATAGGTAAACAAGCAGTTAATGGAAGAAGCAGAAACTGTTAACATTACCTGTTTAAAATCATACATCACGCAAAAGGGTCATTTTTTAATTTCTTGTATTTGTTATGTAAACACACACATTTGACATAGTCTGTACTGGCCCCATTACAGGGCAAAAAAGTTAACCAGAATTTAGACTGTTATCGTGAAGTCTGAAAATAAAATGGCTTTTTGGTTGCCAAAAATGAAGTCTTTTTTTGGCTCTTATTCCACCACAGTATTAAAACCCCTAATTTGCAATGCTTGCAAACTGCACTTGGGCTCCTGTCCACATGAACCAATGTAACTTTGTAAACTTAAAGAGTATTGTAATCTTTTTAAATACTAAATTTAACATTATGCGGTAAGCTTGAATGATTGTTTTTGAATCTCTCCCACACATTTGCATAAAGTAGATGCAAATCAGAGCTGCAAATGGTGTGATGTACTCACTGGCCTACTCTATGCTTCATTTAACTGTAGATTAATGAATGTAGAAACGGATGTTCTTGGAAGCATCTGGTGATAATATAGCATTTTCCCTCTGCCTCAATTTCATTCAGACTTCCTCAAAAACTTGAGGCATCTAAGGAGACATGATGAAAGATGAAGAATGTTAAGGCACCAAATGTGTCTGGCAAAAGCTTAGCTAGACTGTCACATACTCCAACACCAAAACAAAATAAAGCCAAATAAAATGGAAATGCTAGGACTAAGTTTGCCTGATACTTATTTGCCTGATACCTTTTCTTCAGTGTTGTACTTATTGTGGATTATTTAAAAAATGGCTAGAGTTTACAGTAGCTTACAGAATTCAGCCAGGGTAAATGTTCTGGTAAGATTCTTCCATGATTGAAAATACAGTTCAATCATGTTTGGTGCTTTTATATCAAGAAACATCCTATAATTACAAAAATGAAATATAAGTAAACAGACTCAGACACATGTAAAATAGTAATTTAAGTAATAAATACACAACGCCAAATGAATAGATTATTAACCAATTGCTAAAACAGGTCAAATTAAAACCACTTGTACTTGTACTTCTTGCTTAACCCTGAAGAAGTTACTACCCTGCCCAAACTTACAACCATTGCAGTGTCTCTGGAGTCACATAAATAGCAGATGGGTCACCTAAAATGTTGTGTAGTGTCAAGTTTGACGTGTGTCATAGATACACCATTGCTGGTCTATATTGTGTGGTTTTTTTGGCAAGCAATTTTGCCAATATCTTTTTAGTACAAGAATTCACCTTTGTGATTCATATCAAGTAAAAGAAGTATTTCAATTAATTGATTTATTACCTTTATATCTGGCCTTGGAAGTTGGTTAACATGACTGGTCCAAAATCAGAGCTAGCTTTCATGACAGAGAGCTACAATTTAAGTCTTCTCAATTTCTAATCTAATACTTTCCACCACTAGTTCAGCTTCACTTCTACTCATGACGAGTAGAATATACCCTAGCATTCTGCCAGAGATTCACTCCTGTGAACAGTTTTCACTCACAGAAGAATGAAACCGATGTAAAAGATGGTGGGAAGAATTAAGATCCCAGAGATCGATAGACAGAAATTACCTGAAAAAGTGGCATTTGACATTAAGACAATTGGTACTTTTATTAGTAAATATAGAACTCTCTATACTTGGTATGTGTGTGCGGTGGCTAGTGGTTGAAGATACTGAGCTTGTCAGCTGGAAATGCTATGCGACAGGGTGAGCTGCTGTTCCTTGCCCCAGCTCCTGCCCACCTAGCAGTTTGAAAGCATACAAATGCAAGTAGATACAGTTGCAAGAAAAAGTATGTGAACCCCTTGGGATTACGTGGAGTTTTGCATGAATTGGTCATAAAATGTGCTCTGAACTTCATCTAAGTCACAACAATAGAAAAACACAGTCTGCTTAAAATAATACTACACAAACATTAGATGTTGCCATGGTTTAATTGAATATAACATGTAAACATTCACAGTGCAGGGAGGAAAAAGTATGTGAGCCCCTAGCCTAATGACTCCTCCAAGAGCTAATTGGAGACAGGAGTGAGCCAACCTTTACTCCAATCAGTGTGATGATATTGGATGTGTTGCTGACAGCTGTCCTGCCCTTTAAAAACACACACCTGTTTTGGGTTTACTGGTTTCAAGAAGCATTGTCTGATGTGAACCATGCCTCGCAGAAAAGAGCTCTCAGAAGATCTACGATCAAGAATTGTTGACTTGCATGAAGCTGGAAAGGGTTACAAAAGTATCTCCAAAAGCCTTGATGTTCATGTGTCCACGGTAAGACAGACTGTCTACAAATGGAGAAAGTTTAGCACTGTTGCTACTCTCCCTAGGCATAGTCGTCCTGTAAAAATGACTGCAAGAGCACAGGACAGAATGCTTCATGAGGTAAAGAAGAATCCTAGAGTGTCAGCTAAAGACCTAAGAAATCTCTGGCACATGCTATCATTTTTGTTGACACATTTACAATAAGGAAAACATTAAACAAGAATGGAGTACATGGGAGGACACCACGGAGGAAGCCATTGCTGTCCAAAAAAAATATTGCAGCACGTTTGAAGTTTGCAAAAGAACACCTGGATGTTCCACAGCACTACTGGCAAAATATACTGTGGACAGATGAAACCAAAATTGAGTTGTTTGGGAAGAACACACAACACTGTGTGGAGAAAAAAAGGCACAGCACACCAACATCAAAACCTCATCCCCACTATAAAACATGGCGGAAGGAGCATCATGGTTTGGGGCTGCTTTGCTGCCTCAGGGCCTGGACGGATTGTTATCATTGATGGGAAAATGAATTCCAGAGTTTATCAAGACATTTTTCAGGAAAATGTACAACCATCTGTCCACCAACTGAAGCTCTGCAGAGGATGGGTGATGCAACAGGACAATGACCCAAAACATACAAGTAATTCAACAAAAAAATGGCTTCAACAGCACAGAATACGCCTTCTGGAGTGGCCCAGTCAGAGTCCTGACCTCAACCTGATTGAAATGCTGTGGCATGACCTTAAGAGAGCGATTCACACCAGACATCGGAAGAATATTGCTACACTGAGTTTTGTGAAGAGGAGTGGTCCAAAATTACTCCAGATCGTTGTGCAGGTCTGACCTGCAACTACAGGAAACGTTTGGTTGAGGTTATTGCTGCCAAAGGAGGGTCAACCAGTTATTAAGTCCAAAGGTTCACATACTTTTTCCTCCCTGCACTGTGAATGTTTACATGTTATGTTCAATTAAACCATGGCAACATCTAATGTTTGTGTAGTATTATTTTAAGCAGACTGTGTTTTTCTATTGTTGTGATTTAGATGAAGTTCAGAGCACATTTTATGACCAATTCATGCAAAACTCCACGTAATCCCAAGGGGTTCACATACTTTTTCTTGCAACTGTAAATAGGTACTTCTCCGGTGGGAAGATCAGAGTGTTCCATGCGCCTCAGCATGTTGTCATGCTGGCCACAACCACAGAAATATCTTTGGATAAGGCTGACTCCCTTGGCTAAGAAATGGAGGTGAGCACTGCCCCCTAGAGTCCAAAATGACTGGGCAGGGGAAACTTTACCTTTATCTATACTTGGGAAACTTCTTTTTATGCACATATCCAATCATTGTTGAATTAAGTATTAACCTGTAATATCATTAATGACAATACTGGAAGTTCATGTCAATATTCTGATACCACTGAAAATGAAGATGGGATAATAACAGTTGTGAAACAATGAGGTTCATATGGAACCGAATGTTATGTGTATCTTGCCCAACTTCTAAGAGTATCAATATTTTGGTAACACATGTACTCAGCAAAACAACTGGTTGATGTAAATGTTTCTGTGTAATGGAACATATTATTTTAAGCTCTGTCATCAACAGTTTTTGCAAGAAACTATTTTTAATTAGCCACCATACCACCTACATCACTTAATATAAACACACACTTCAGCAGATTTGTACATAACAGTTTATTGGGTTTATTAATAATTTGGGCTAAAATAAGGTACAGAAAATCAATTATAGGTTAATACTGTCTTATACAAAAAGTAGCCCTTTGAATACCCCCGTTATAAAAATCCAGTAAAAGTGTTAAAGAATATAACAATATAATCCTAAAATTGTAATTATATTAGTTCGAAAAACAAAGACAAAGACCATTTGTGATGCTAACCATTTTTCAGGTTCCCCAAACCTTGAGAAATTCATTTTTAAATTGTATTCTGAATATTTAAATGTAGCTTAGTTCATGGAAATAGGTACAGATACTTTGTTATTCCTATATCAGGCACAGACTGGAAAACATCATTCAACCTCATGGAAATATACTGTTAAAAAAAATTAACCTTACTTAAAAGGTACAATTTAAATTAGTAAATTACTGCTGTTCAGGAATTAAGTTTTAGCAGTATGGATTTTATAAGTGATCATGAAAGCCAAAATTCTTAAAATGTAGCACCACAAGTAAAGACTAAGTTACAGTATATAATGAAGGTCTAATTACAGCAAATGATACATGCAGATGATGTTTAAAAATACTGAACAATTCTTTAAAGTCAGTTAATGAAAACTAATGTACAGTAGGGTTAGGTTTATACTAGTTATTTGGCACACATATTCACATTTTCACAGGTTTTCAAAATACTAGGAATTTTTCTCCTTGCTATTTAATTATAATTACAGCTTCATACAAATAATACCGAAATCAGCCCAGATCTAAAACATTCTAGGTAAAACAAGTGTGTTCAAATCAAATAGCATAATTTAACCCAGTAATATAACCTATGTAGGACACAAAAAGATTGTAGGTGTTACTTCTGAACAGAAGAGGTATTGAACAATTATCATCTTTCTAAGGAGGAAAAAGTACTATTAGTGAAAACTCTTCAGATTAGTATTATATTTTCCAAATAAATTACAAGATCAAAGTGAAATCTTGCTGTGATCCCATTTTTAAAATTAAAATTCTGGATTAATAAATGGCAGAACATTTTTACTATGTTTATATATCATTCATTGCAGATTTCAAGAAATATAATTTGGATTTTATTTTTGAACATAGTAAATACAGACTAAAATATGGACATCATCTGGTTTTCCTTATCTGTGTGTAACAACAATCAAAATGAAAATGCCATCATTACTTTTTTTAATGTTAGAAGCCTGAAGGACATTAGATTAAGTCACTCTCTTTCCAGTATTTCCAAGTACAGTATTTATGTCTGTCAGTATGTATGTATGTCATGGGTATACTGGGGTCATCAGGGAGTAGCTAGTTTCTTCCATGATGAATACTTATGCTCTTCCTTTGTAGAAACACATGCCTCGGGTACAATTTGACCTTGCTTTCTTCGAAAATTAAATACAAATTTGAAAATCTGAAAAAATACACCTAAAAAGTCTGAAAAAATAACTGAATTTTTTTTCTAAATTATACTACTTCTTTTAAACTCACATACGTCACAAAATGCTACACACATGGAAATTACTTGAAAATATTTACTGTATAGCACTGGTAAAGTACAGCAGTCCACAAATAGTCAAGGCATACTGATACGTTACTTCATACAGGTAGTTCTTGACTTACAATTGGCCATTTCACAATTGATCATAGTTATGATGGCCTCGGAAAGAGTGTTTTTCTAAGCCCGTAAAGCACTTCCAAATATTGTAAAGTGTAGCACTGCCCCCCTAATCACATGACCATATTTCAGGCTCTTGGCAGCCTATTTGCAGGTACAACCAGTTTCCAAGCGCCCTACAATCATGTGAATGCCATCTGCTATCTTTTCTGCTGGGAAACTGGCAGGGAAGTTGCAAGTGGAAGGGACAGAGGGGAGCAACTCACCCAGCCACCTGCAGCAGCTTTGTACATGCTGGTAGCTTCCATAGCCAGCCTGAAGCTCCCTGGGTGGCTGAGCGGTTGGATTGGGAACCAGCTGAAACCTCACAGACATCAGCAGGTTTATGTATCCCTGTAGATCCCAGGCCTCCCTACCTGGTGCAGCATCCCCTCATTCTGCTGAATGATCCACATGGTCACTTAACAACTGTAAATGAATGAGCCAGGATGGTAGTCATTAAGGGAAGCAGTTATGTGATGTGTCATTTAACAACTGCTTCACTCAACAAAGATTCCAGGCTCAATTATGGTTGTAGGTCAAGGACTACCTGTATATAAAAAGAGTAACATTGAAAAAAATTGCAAATATTATCACTTATTTTCTTGTAGGTCAGTCTGCACGCAAAGGTCTCTATTCCAAAAGAAATGAACATTCCTTTAAGACTTTCTTAGTCTTTCCTATGAAAACCTTTACAATGATTTCAAAGAAATAGGCAATACATAATATTTATAGGGTAGGTAACTTAAAGGAACTTTCAAACAATCATGTCAGCTGCAAAAAGGAAATCAGGAAAAATTAAGAATAAGAATTTAAACCATAAATATAATTGGTTATAATCAATTTATATATTGAGTGCAAAAAAACCCCAAACCCCTCAGTGGCATTAATCCATAGTATTAGATGAACAACAGGTTAGGGAAAATCTAAACATTTGTGTAATCTGCATAGTAAAATCAGGTCAATAAAATATTAGTAAATCTTAACAAACTCATATTGCATTTAACATTTTAAAAAGATTAAAGAAATCTTATTTGTTTATAAAATAGAGAATACGTCAACTATATATTTGTTTGCTGAATGTTAAGAGACCTTCCAAGTGACAGCAGGATAAGTAGTAACTCTCCCCACAAAATAAGCTGTGTCTTAAATCTTAAATGATTCCAATTAATGAAAGATATCTGCAATGATGAAAAGAGAATATTGACAGGTTACATGGTTATGCATACTTTTTAAAAATGAATAATAGTATATTTTATAATTATATATTTAATTATATAATAATATAAAAATATAATTAAAAGTAACAATGATAACCAAACTTTTCATTTACAAATCTGGGAAGTAGTAATACCTATAGATTCCTCCTACAAATTTTATTAATAAAATAATAATGGCACCATCTCATAGATATATACTATAAAGAAAGATTACAGCATAAAGATCACAGGGAATCACAAAAGAGTATATTGTTCTAGTCATCTTTCCTCTCTCTATTTTCGTTAGCCTACGTTAACTCCCTCTTGTTTTTTGCAATGTATTGCTAAAAAAAAGGAAATATCCCCAACTATCTATGCATACACTGTCTCAATTTCTTTTGGTCGCCATAGTAGCGACCAAACATTCCATTGTTACAGAATGTTACTGCATAACATTCTGTGATGCCCACAGCCATGCCTGTTTTTATGATCTTTTTTTGCAGTTGTCGTTAACCTTACACTGTAATTATTAAGCATATATCACAGTCATTAAGCAGACGTGGCAGATATTAAATGAGTCTATTTTTTCAATGGGTATTTTTTTTTGCTGGAAATGGGAAGTGAATGTTGAAAACCAACAAAAACACAGAAAATCATGGTCATGTGACTGCAGGACACTGCAAATGGCTATAAATGCAAGCTGGTTATCAAGTGCCCAAAATGTGATCACAGGACCGTAGGGGGAAAAAGTTGAGGTGGTTTGGCCCCCAGAACTGTGGAACTGGATCACAAGTAGCTTTGTAACTTTGACTGGTCATTAAGTGATTGGTCATTAAGTGTACACTACCTGTATGCGGTGTTAAATGTTGTAGTTCATTACTTGCTTGATCATTTAGGAAAAAAAACAGCCTGCCCTCCTCTCTTCCCTGTTTCATTCTATGTTTTGTTTAGGTTCTTTCAAAGTGAGGAAGGGAAGTTAAATTGTATTACATGCTGGTACGACAGCTGAGGAAATACAGAAAATGGACAAAGCACTATCTCATTTTTCTTGATTTTAAAAGCTATTCCTCCCCTGAAGAACAGGATATAGCATACAGGGAGCATTAGTAAATTGTATGCTGTCCAAACATTTGCAAAGTTGATTGTGAATTGGTTCTTTAGTCTATTAAATTTAATTTTTTAAATTTAACCCTTATGGCAAGTAGACAACTGTAGCACTTGAATGAATGAGCAAATAATTAAATAAATGGATTCCTTTTTGTTTCAGAATGAAGTATTTATGTCACTCTTAAAGTTATTTATCTAAGTCAAAATCATGATAAAAAGATCAAATCTGTAATACTATAATTTTCAAAGCAATATTTTATATATAGTAGTTTCAATATAAAAGTGTTCTTACCAAATAATTCAAACTTTGTACCCATGAGTTGCACTGCTATCTCCTTCACCTCCCTGCCTTTGCATCTGCATCTGTGCCTGCATCCTTGCAATCATTTCCTGCATGCGGCGAAGCTAAAAACAAAGAATATCATTTCTACATTGGCTAGAATTCCTCCAACTAAAGGAGTGCTTTGGCAGCTTACAAAAACATTAAACCAAAATATCACCAATTAAAAAAACCAACAGATTTTATATCTTTCATCTAAAACTATGGTTCTTTTGTAGTACCAGTGTGTGATAACGGTATCATAAGGCCAAATTATTTCTCCACTTTTATCTTCTACTCCCTCCAACTGATGTGCAGTACAGGTAAGAAACCTATGGCTCTCGAGATATTTTTGAATTATAGATACCATCATAACCCAAAGCGAAGACATTGGTTATAGATGCTGAGAACTAGAATTCAGCAATTTTCCAGTTTCTGGTTCAGTTTTTACATTTTTAATATGATGCTTAAACAAATTCTATAGAGATCAATGGATTCAATTCACATGAATTAACATCAAGACCATCATGAAATAAGGCTTTATTTCATTATACAAATCTAAGAGATACAAACCAGATCAATTATGCTAACAGGCAGCAATAAACCATAGTTTGAATGACAAAATTCAGTATGACATTTAAATCCAAATAAAGAGTTACCTGTCCATATTTGGTTATTAAAAACTGGGAATGAAATCTCTTTTGAACTGAAAGGCTGCAATAAACTGATTTTAAGTCACCAGTATCAATTTAAAATTCCGTATTTTGTATACCTGAAGAATTACCAAATGATGATCAAGTTTCTTTCAAGTATACTTTTAATTATATAGTTGCATGAATTACTTTCCCATTGCTACTTTATAAATCTAATCTACATAGCATTCATGATTTTCTGTCAAAATACATAAATTCAGTTTTTACTTGGAAAACGGTCATAGTAGATCACATCAAATTAGGCTCTATTTATTTATTTATTTATAAATGCTTCTCTGAGTGAGGGTGTCTTTCCCGCCGCCTTGAAAGAGGCGGTTGTGAAGCCCCTCCTCAAGAAGCCTTCCCTGGACCCGGCTATATTATCAAATTATCGTCCAGTCTCCAATCTTCGCTTTGTTGCAAAGGTTGTTGAGAGTGTGGTGGCGCGACAACTACCCCGATACCTGGATGAAGTTGTCTATCTGGATCCGTTCCAGTCGGGCTTCAGGTCACGATACAGCACGGAAACGGCATTGGTGGATGATCTCTGGAGGGCTCGGGACAGAGGTTGCTCCTCTATCCTGGTCCTATTAGATCTCTCAGCGGCTTTTGATACCATCGACCATGGTATCTTACTGCACCGGCTGGAGGGGTTAGGAATAGGGGGCACCGTGCTTCAGTGGTTCTCGTCCTTCCTCTCTGACCGTTCGCAGTTTGTGTTGGCAGGGGGGCAGAGGTCGACCTCGAGGCATCTTATTTGTGGGGTGCCGCAAGGGTCAGTCCTCTCACCCCTTCTGTTCAACATTTATGTAAAACCGCTAGGCGAGATCATCCGTGGTTTTGGGGTGAGTGTTCATCAGTATGCTGATGACACACAGCTATACATCTCCACCACAGACCACCCCAATGATGCCCTTGCTGTGATGTCCCGTTGCCTGGAGGCCGTGCGGATCTGGATGGGGAGAAACAACCTCAGACTCAACCCCTCCAAGACCGAGTGGCTGTGGCTTCCGGCGTCCCGGTATAGTCAGCTAGTACCATCACTGACAATAGGGGATGAGATCTTGCTCCCCACAGAGAGGGCCCGCAACTTGGGTGTCCTCCTGGATTCACGGTTATCTTTAGAAGATCATTTGACGGCCGTGGCCAGGGGTGCCTTTTATCAGGTTCGCCTGATCCGCCAGTTGCGTCCCTTTCTGGATCGGGACGCCTTGCGCACGGTCACTCATGCCCTAGTTACCTCCCGTATGGACTACTGTAATGCTCTCTACATGGGGCTCCCCTTGAAAAGCACCCGGAGGCTCCAACTGGTCCAGAACGTAGCCGCGCAGGTGATTATGGGCGCAGCTCGTTACGCCCATGTAACACCTCTCCTACGCGAGCTGCACTGGCTCCCGGTGGTCTTCCGGGTGCGATTCAAGGTGTTAGTTATCACCTTTATAGCGCTCCATGGCTTAGGACCTGGTTACCTATGAGACCGTCTTTTGCCACCAATAGCCTCCCACCGACCAGTTCGTTCTCACAGGGAGGGACTACTCAGGGTACCGTCAGTCAAATTATGTCGACTGGCGACTCCCAGGGGGAGGGCCTTCTCTGTGGGGGCTCCAACCCTTTGGAATGAACTGCCCCCGGAGATACGGAATATCCCTGATCTCCGTGCTTTCCGCCGTGCCCTCAAGACCCTGATGTTCCAACAGGCGGGACTAAACATACGAACATGTGAATGATTTTTAAAATGTTATCTAATTCTGGGTTTTATTTGATTGACCAAACTAAGTAATAATTTTAATTAGCAATTTTATGATGTTTGTGTGTCTATATTTTTCTTGACTGTACACCGCCTTGAGTCCTACGGGAGAAAGGCGGTATAGAAATATAATAAATAAATAAATAAATATGCCCCCCTTCTCCCGTAGGACTCGGGGTGGCTCACAAAATAAAAAAAACACGACAATAAAATGATATTAAAATAATCCAATTTAAAATCCCCAAGCAATTAAAACTCCCGACAGATCAGGGAATTTGCTGAAAAAGCCATGTCTTCAGGCCGCCGCAGAAAGTGTGGAGGTCGGGGGCTGTTCGGAGCCCAGTGGGTAACTCATTCCAGAGGGTCGGTGTGATCACAGAGAATGCCCTCATCCTGGGTGCCACCAGCCGACATTGTCTTTGAATCTGGATTAAGCCTTTGAATCTGGATTAAGCCATACAGGTTCATTTGCCTCTCCTTTCTCACTAATTATAAATCAATGAATGGCTGTAATTGTTTTAATTTTAAATTTATGGCCCCTGCAAAAGGGTACCTTTCACAGAATTCAGATTGAGAAGTGTTTGTGCTAGATGCCTTTAAAGTTTTAATCTTTACTTAGAAAAGCTTACTAATAACTTTGTAATTTCTTGGCAAAATCCTGCTGAGTAATATTCTGTCCCTATGGTGTAGGAATTCAGAACTGTTTATGAATATCACATAATTTGAAGATCCAAAATACAGTATATTTTTTTTAAAAATGAAGTCCTTACTTCTGCTTCCTTTTCAAGCAAGATTTGATCTTTATTAACTTCTTCATCTTCAACTTTTCTACATTTAGGAGGGGGAAAAAAGAAGGCTTAGAAATATACAGCAATATTTTCTTAAAAGCAGCAACTTCTTACAAAGGAATTTAATGCAAACATGTAGTTCTAGCTAAATACTGTTTTCTATCTGATAGTATTTAACTACTACTGACCAATATTTTTAAAATGCAGATACAATGGTAGTAAAAGAAGGAAAAAAGATTGAGTAGTTATTACTCTACTGTATGTATTTCCTAGGTGATGGGATTTTCTTTTATTTATTAAACTTATATGCTGTCCATTTCATTCTACAAAGAGACCTGCCAAAGGAATATTGGTTTACAATGAAATCTCTATTTTAGAGATACTGGCTACACAGAATAGCATGGGAATGCTTAGACTAGAGTAAATCAGTATATGACTTATCAAAACTGACTGGAATTGTATCTTTACTGATAGCAGAAAATTCTAGTATGGGTATTAAAGCTAGTAACCTTTAAGAGTCATCTGTGATGAACATGGGAAGAGCACAACTTGGAAAGAAAGAGGAGTAGATAAAGAGCATGAATTCATCAATGAAACATTACAAAGCTGAGTATTTCTAATACTAAGTGAAAGAGTAAGAATGTTGTAGATGTATATGAAGGTGGATCGATTTTGGGAAATAGAATTGAGGAATATATGCATAAATTATGGAAGTAATATAGGTTCAATAATTATTACACTGTAAGTCAGAAAATGAAATTATATTATTTAAATTATGAAAACAGAAATTAATATATTAATGAAGGTAAATTTTACTTTCTACAAATATTTCAGGTACAAGTATATATGTACCTTGCTTGAGTAGTGATAATGAAAGAACCAGGGATGTGATTTGTATGTAAATGTCTTCCTGAGGAACAATTATTGGAGCATTCAGACACTTCAAAATGAAAAAGTATAGCTATTGTTTTTGAAGTATTTTAGTATTTTGAAACTGGGGGAAAGGGCTAACAAAGAATCTCCAACAGAATGAACTCAATAAAAAATAAAAATTACCGAATGGAAGTACATTTTAGAATGGTTGGGAAAAAAGTGAGATGTTAAAGTGGAATTAAAAAAAATACTTTGAATCTTAGAATGTTAAGAAAATTGATGAAAAGGGAAATCATTAATACAACGAGAACATTGAAAAATATCATGGCTTCAGGTTTAAATGGCATAACTAGAGAAACATTAAAATATGAATGAAGTTTGCATACAACATGTTTAACACGTGTGAAAATTGCATCTGTTCCTAATAACTGAAAGAATGCTTTTGCTGACCCTTTACAGAAAAAAATATAATAAGAATAATACACCCAAATACATTGTTAGATATGCTTGGAGAGTATTTGACATATATTCAAAATGGTAGCAATCAAAACATGACAAGAAAACCTGAAATATAATGGAACCATAGACCATTTAGTAAGAGATGCTTACCTGCCACCCTTTTTAAGTCTTTCAGAACGGAAGTTCTCATAGTGAAGATCTTGAGTCACTTCTTGAAGATCCTGCATATGAGTGCTGGAATAACAAAAAAACTATGGTATAATAATTATTTAATACAGCTCAACAAATTTTATTTTAATCCTCAAATAAAAAATTATGCATTAGAAGCAGTGAAATGGAAAACAAGATATAAAATTTGACTAACCCAATGGGTTTTAAACATGCTCTGAAATGCATACATTCTACATTGTTATTGTGTTTGCTACCCATCCTTTAATAGTTATATAACATAACTTCATATATAACACAAATAATCAAAATTTTTAAGAATGTTATTTTTCCACAAATAGATGTATGTTGAAAATATGAACACCATGAATGGACATTTTATCATGAGTGATGGACATGTAAAAAAACTAAAAAAAATGGATCCAAATACATACTTTAATACAGGCAATTTGAAAGATTAATATTCAATTTAAGCCACAATTTTTCATTTCAGGACTGACAGGCAAATAGAAAGGGGTCACGGAAGATTATTTCAATATATGATCACAGCAGCCAGATTACTCTATGCATAGAGATGGAAAGATTCGACATTATGGGAGAATGGTAGGGGAATTGAATAGATTTTGCTGAAATTGATAAATTAATTTCATTACAGAAGAGGCATTATCTACATTTATTGCTGATTACCAGCCTCTTACAGACTTTTGTGTAAAAATCAAAAGAATGAAATTTTGACTTATGGTTTTGATATTTAGACAGAATGGATTATAGAAAGAATAAAATGATGTAACTTTAAAGGTCAAAATATATTTGCCCTTATATCTGCTATGAAGAATACGTGAAGCCACTGTTTTGTCTTTTTCTATTTTTAACTTTTTTCCTTTTCTTACACTTTTTTCTTTTATTTATTGCTTTGTTTTCCGTGTTTACTTCTATTAATCTGTGTTATCTTTTACTTTCTTATTTATAAATTTTAACAAAAATTATACTCATTATGATGATATTGGAGGATGAGGGAAGAGATGCTTTTTAAGAAACAATGAGACAAGAAAGGGTGGAATCCCCTGTGACTTAAGATAGGAAGAAATTTGGGAAAGACCTGTCTTATTGATTGGGCAGTTAAAAGTAGCGGGGGGAAATTTCTACCTTCAGCCTTGCAAGATTCCTTCAATGCAGCCTTACAATAAAATGGAATTATTAGCCTCTAATTTTATTTCCGATCTGGTTTACCTGGAAAGATTGATATGTGAAATCTCACTTAAGAGACTATGTGTGATAAAAAATAAAATAATATGTAATAAAAAAGGTTGTAAAAGTGGCCACAGTCACATAGTGCCTCACTTCACAATTACACTCCTTAACAATTAATTTTCCAGTCTTTACTGTGGTCGTAAGTTAAGAACTATCTGTATCTCCTGTTTAACAGTTCAACAAACAATAATCATTTTGCTTTGTATTGTGTAGGATAAAAAAAAAGGTGAACAATGACCAAAGTACAGGGATAAATGCACTTTACTTACATCAGCATGGTTCTTAGTTTTAAGAAGTCATTATGTTCTGGATTTTCCACTTCAACAACACCCCAGGGATAAAGACGACCTCTAACTTTTTTACCCTTAGCTTCAATTAATTGATTGGATCCCACAACACAAAATGGAATGCTGGTCTGGAATTGAAGAGAAAAATAATCTTACAATCTCACTGTGCTTTGCAATTAGAAGTCTGATAACAATCAACACCAATTTAAATTTCTGAAAAGAAAGTCAACTATTTATTAAAAACACAAGACATGCCATTGACTAGAAACTCCTTATGGACTTTATGCATAAAACAGCAAAAATGCGCTTATGATTTTGTTTTGATAATCAGATTATAGACAGAAGGATAAGATTGTAACGATAGAGTAAGAAGTAAATTTATAACTGTACTTACAACTGCTGTAAAGAATATCAGAAGCTACTTCTTTGTATCTTTTTTCTTTTCTATTTTCTTTACTTTTTTATATTTATTTTCATTTTGATTTATTTCTTTTTCTTACATTAGTTTTTATCTTCCTTTTTAAATACTTTTCAATAAGATACATAACCTCTTGTATCCTACCATTCTCCAGTTAAAAATTTCTTGCCTAACCTTACTGCTTTCATCTTTTCTTCATAATGATTTCTGATAAAAATTCTGCTGGTTACATTCATTATCTTCTGTTGCCATCATCTAATTCTAATGCTTCTGTTAAGTTTCTGTTATTGCCCCCTTGCATTCCTTTTCTATACTTTTAATTGCTACAATTTACACTGTCAAAAAAGATGCAAAGAAAGCAAAATTAAAAAAGGAACTCTTGCTACAAATTCCTGCTCCATACTCTCATTCTGAACTCATATTAAAAAAAAAAAATTGCAATCAAATTTGGATGACAAAGCATTTTCCAATTCAGAGATCAAAATTCCCTTTAGTGTGAAGAATTCTCTTCCTTCTGAGATTAGAAACAGATTAAAAACACTAGCTTTGATAAGCAAAAATAATAAATTCTAGAAATTAAACAAGATGACAGGATAAACTATTTCTGACTTAACAAATTGTCCTTACTTTCAAAAGTCTGGTCTGTTCTTTAAAATCTTCATCTTCGTCTGATTCTGCATCGGGCAAGTGATAAATCTTGATGCTATGTTCTTCAATTTCATCCAAAATCTGACCCCAAAGGACAGTAAGATATAAATAAAACATGGGCTGAGATTCAACATCTGCAAAATCAACCAGGATTTTTTGCTTGCTTTTTATATATGCCCCCTCCCCCCTCCGCTTACACCCAAACAGCTTCTGAAGGCCAGAAAACCATACCCCTAGAATTACACATTGTACAAAGTGCTGCAGTTGGAGAAGCCAATTATTCCCCTTCACTTCAATACAGTACAACTATACACACTACCTAAAAGTTCACAGTGTTCATTAGATTCCGACCGCCCTATTATGCACAATATATGAATCATGTTTTTCTTTATGCTATGCTTATATTAAAGAAAAAAACCTCACCCTTTTCTTCAGTCTTTCCCGCTCTTTCAGCGTTAGGGTATCAGCTTTTGCAATCACAGGTACAATATTCACTTTGTTGTGTATAGCTTTCATGAACTCAACATCCAAAGGCTTGAGACTAAAAATACAAATTATGAATTCCTAACATTTAGACTATTTCTTTCACAAACTAAAAATCAACAGAAGCAGTTAACATAGAAACTTAAACATTTCTAAAAACATTCAGATTCTTAGATCAAATTACTGCTTTGTTCACATCAAGGAAGCAATATGCATTATTATTGTAAAACATATCTCATTTTTTAAAATGTAACTTTATAAAATAGAGAAGTTGTGATTTTGGCTATCATCTTAAGTATATCATGCCACATGGACATCCCCTGCAAAACTATGGGTGGCAACCAATAGTTGTGACATATTCTGTCCAATATGCCACAAACACAATCAAAGCCCAATTTTATACCAAACAAACTCAAACTACTTGATGCAAATTTTAGGTTTTTAAGTTAAAGGCAACTTGCAAGTAGATATATTATTACCTATAAACCCTCCTCCCAGCTAGGAAATACATACTGTGTATTCACATGCACACATGCAAAATGTATAAAGTTATATATGGGCATTGAAGAAGGATGATTTGTAAAGGTGGAATGAGAGAGAGGTATAGTAAAGGGTTTCATGTAAAGTAGATTTAGCTAATTTCCTTTTGATTTCATGCTTTAATTTCCTTTTACTTTAATTTCCTTTGACTAGCATCACTTTTCCTGAAACAATAGCATAATAGATATGTTTGTATGTATTTTTATAAACAAACCATTTTAGAATTGTAGAACTTAAATTGATATATATGTGTGTGTTTGTGTGTGTGTGTGTGTGTTTGTGTGTGTGTGTGTGTGTGTGTGTAGGTCTTTGGTTATTCGGGTTTTCTCCCGCGTAAAATTGAACAGAATTGGCCCTAATCAGAAATGAACTTCACACAAAAAGATTCCTCCTAGACCGAATCAACAAAGATCTCCTCACACTTCACCTCAAACTCAGCAACAAGATCCACCCCGCACTTTGGGACAAATCCAAACAACTCGCCGTCTGGAGAGCCGAAACACAGACCACCCTCAAAACAGACACACACACCAACAAACTCAGAAGACTACAAGACCGCCAGAAACAAACCCCTCCCCCCTCACAGCCACACATGAAACAAACAGTGCATAACATCTCAGATAGGATCCTCACCAAAGCCGAAACCAATGTCCTTTTCAAAGGATTCAACTTTGCAGTCGCTCCCAAACACATCCCCACTGAAACCATTATATGCGGAGTTGAAACCAGCCTGACCAAAATCAACCCCGACGACGCTAACAGAATCAGACTCGAAATCACCAACATCCTCTGCACCAGCAAGCCACCCAAAAGCAACTTACCCAAAGAGGAACAGACAGCACTACTTAACCTGAAAGAAGACACCAGCATAATAATCCTACCAGCAGACAAGGGAAACGCCATGGTGATTATGAACACATCTGATTACCAAACCAAATTAACCAACCTACTCCAAGACTCCACATACAAACCCCTAAACACAGATCCCACCACCTACCTGGAAAAAACCACTAGATCCAAAATAAACGCCTCCCCCATCAGCGAAGAGATCCAGCAAAGAATCATTCCCAGAGATAAATCATCCAGATACCCCAAGCTCTATGGTCTCCCCAAGATACACAAAGAAGGAACCCCACTTAGACCCACAGTCAGCTCCCTAGGCTCACCTCTACAAAACCTAGCCAAATTTCTCGCCAAACAACTACAGCCCTATGCAGAATCCATCACCTCACACGTAAAAAACTCATTCCAGTTCATAGATATCATAAAGAAACAAAACTGACAGCCCAACGACCTACACATGAGCTTCGATGTCATATCCCTCTTCACCCAAGTGCCAATCAAAGAAGCCTTGACAGCTATCCAAAACAAATATAACCCCCCCAAGCACATGCTAGATCTGACCAACCACTGCCTATACAACACATACTTCATCTATAACGGACAAAAATACAAACAAATAGAAGGAGCACCCATGGGATCACCCCTCTCACCTGTCATTGCAAACCTCTACATGGAACACTTTGAAACCCAAGCTCTAGAAAAATCTGATCACAAACCCAAACTCTGGCTCAGATACGTAGATGACACCTTCATAATCTGGCCACACGGGAAAGAAAAACTGGACAACTTCTTCACACACTTCAACAGCCTACACCCCAAAATAGAGTTCACCATGGAAACAAAAGCTAACAACCAACTTCTCTTCCTGGATGTCTTAGTCTACAAGAAATCCAATGGCTCCCTAAGACACACCATCTACCAGAAGAAAACACACACAAACCACTATCTGCACGCACTCTCACACCACCACTCAGCACAGATCAACTCTGTAGCCAAGACACTCATCTCCAGAACAAAACGCTTAGCTGACGAACAACACCTAAAAACCGAACTACACACTCTCACTAACGTACTAACATCCAACGGATTCCAAAGAAATAAGATTACCAACCTAATCCAAAAAGAAACCCCCACTAAAACCCAAGACAAAGAACAAGAAAACGGCAAAGCCCTCCTCCCATACATAAAAGGCACCACAGACAGAATCAGCAAGATCCTCCACAAACACAACATCAAGACAGCATTCTGCACAAACCGAAAAATATCCACCATCCTAAGAAACCCCAAAGACAAAATTGAGTTAGAAAATCAAGGAGTATATGAAATCCCATGCACCGCCTGCCCCACCACATACATCGGACAAACCAACAGAAGAATAAGTGCACGCATTGAAGAACACAAGAACTCAGTCAGAAAAGAGGAACCAACTTCTTCCCTGGTCCAACACCTTAAAGCCACAGGACATGAAATTGACTTTAAAAAGACCAGGACTATCACCAAAACTGAACACTTTAACAACAGAATAATCAGAGAAGCCATCGAGATAGAAAAACGCCCACACAGCATGAATAAACGAGATGATACCTCCCGCTTACCAGCCATTTGGAAACCCGCCCTTATTGACAAATGAGTCCCTAACACAAAGAATGACACCAGACCCACACTCACGAAAACCACACAGGATGTCACCACCACACATCCATGCAAAAAGCAAACCAAAACCCACACCGATGATGAGGCACAACCACAAACCAGAAGCCAGACCACAGCTGCATCATTAGCCACTTTAAACCCCTCCAATCCATACATGAAGCAAACTGACACCCACCGTGAAGATGTGGCACGACCACGAACGCGAAGCCAAACAACAGCAACACATCTCACCAGTTCAAATCCCCCTGCAACTCAGACTAACCCGAGCACAACCAAGCCCCCACCTAAACAGAACACCCCCCCACCCAATCAGAGCACAGCCAACCCCCCCATGCAATCAGAGCACAGCCAAGCCTCCACCCAATCAGAACACGCCTCCACCCAATCAGAACACAGCCAAGCTCCCACCCAATCAGTTCACACCCCACTGGCAGTTAAAAGGAAGAAACAGCTGCAATCACACATTGCTCTTAGAAGCACGAAGCCGAAAACACCAGCCTGAAGATGACGAATGAGACTTCGTCGAAACGTCGCCAAGACACTTCCAATTTTACGCGGGAGAAAACCCGAATAACCAAAGACATTCATTCATTCATTCATTCATTCATTCATTCATTCATGTATGAATGCACTGATCCCTTATAAATTGCCTTTTTGGAATTGAATCCAAAGCACTGTTCCTAGTACTTACCCATGACCAAATGGTGAGATGAAATAGAAGCAGCAATGAACTCGGTTATCCACAATATGCCGTCTATTCAAGCCACTCTCATCATGAAGATAACGTTCAAACTGCTCATCAATATAGGAAATAATGGTCCTGAAACTATTAAAACAAATATGAAACATGATTGTTTAAATGTTCATTATCAGAGATGCTTTATAATTGTTGTTTAAACCTAAGGAAATAATAATGTTTAAAAATAATAATTCCATAAACTGAATTGTTGTCAAAAGAAATGAATATGCATAATACAGAAAGAAATAAGAAGGCATTAAAATGTTTTATAATAATCCAAATCCCAACACCTTACAAGACTTTCTGCTATTTTCTATAGAGTTTTGGTTGTTAACTGTTCATCCATGAATGGTATCGTTTTTATTCTACATATATCCCATTAATCTGGAGACTTTACATAAAAACATATGAAATATGTAATTAAATTTAGCAATTCTTAACATTAAAGCTAAGAATTATAAACAATATAACTCTGTTTATATTATTATAGTTTGTTTAAATAATTTAACACATCCACTGAATACATACCAATCTCGACAATTAATAGCATCACCATATCCTGGTGTATCTACTACAGTCAGACGGAGCTTTACACCTCTTTCCTCAATTTCAACTGTTGAGGCCTCAATCTGTACAGTTCTTTCTATTTTTTCTAGGAAAGGAACAAAACTGGATTTCAGAAGATTGCTGACATCGAGCCTTTATGGCAGGATCAGGAATTAATTATTCTCAGTAGATAGCTGATTAAGGTATACCTCATAGACAAATCAATTGTGATGCTGCAACCCAATATATATTTTCAATTATAAATTATGCCATAGAATTATAAAGCTGAAATGTTCCAAGGCAATCTAATTCAAATATATGGTTATTACTCCACATTTGACAAACCTATCTGATTTAGACAGGAGCACGGTTTGAGATGAATGATTTTCTAATAATCCAATACATGTAGCTGATAAAAAAAAAAAACACCCTACAACTGAAACAGCAAAAAGATCAAGTCTTGTGCTGCAAGAAAAATTAATTGCAAAATGTAGATCAGGTGGCAGATTTCACCAAAATTATTGCAATATACTTTTTCTATACTTTAAAGAATCATAAACACCTTTTTTTGAAAAAGGATGTTTTACAATGAATACATTTGTGATTGTATATAGAAAATTATGTATATAATAAAAATGGACAATTTCTAAAACTATACCCCCCCAAACACTTTACATAAATCTTTTTGCATTAGAATCCATTTAATTTTTCTATTGCAATATTAAGATACAAAAGATTGTACTGAAAGGACAAGTTAATCTTACCAGCTGCTCCTGGGATTATCCTTTCTGGGTAGAGATCTGTTAAGAACAAGCTGTTTATTAGAGTAGATTTTCCCAATCCAGATTCACCTATTAAATAATATAAAATACAGTTAGAAACAAGCTTAATCATAAATAATTACCTTAACTATTTAAATGGACTATTATTATTCATTGAATTTCTGCATTGAAGCTCATATTTAGTGTTCAGATTTAGGAATTTAAAAACCAAATACCTTTTTGATTATAGATCTAATTTTCTGAATGAGCAATTATAGACCATATATAACAGGCTCTATGACGCAGTTCTTTGAAAAATTTATTATTCTGAAATATTGATGCATCAATTAAAAAGAATATACCACAAGAAATTTTTACAAATTAAGAGTACATTTTACTACAACAATTGAACTGGCATCTTGAAGGGTAATAGTGCATATATCAATTTAAAAAATTGTAATAATCTTACCAACTACCATAAGGGTAAATTCGAAGCCTTTTTTCACAGACTTCCGATGAACCTGGTTTGGAAGGTTTGCAAATCCAACATAACCAGGGGTTTCTGGATTTGCAAACTTTTCAGCAGGCTGTTGCTGAAAAGAAAAATAGAATACTAAAATTAAATAAAATTGTATAATTATTTTTGTAAAATTATTGAGGAAATGGTTAAAATTACAGATTCACTAAATTTATTCATTTGGTGTTATTTGAAAAGTATAGTTCAATAATTGGTTTAGAATTAATAATTAATAACAAGCTATCAGAAGAAATGGTTAAAGTTACAGGGGGTTGGACTAGAAGACCTCCAAGGTCCCTTCCAACTCTGTTGTTCTATATTCTATCTTGACTTTGCACAATCATTATTGACTCAATTCTCATGTTCCATTTATTTCCATCTGAAAATATAATTTATTGTGAAAAATGTCCTAAGAAATATTTAAGTATAACAGAAACATGATTTTAGATTCTGATTAACTTGGTAAAATAGATTAGTCTTGACATTTCTGAAATGAGTCTATTTTTATTACACAATATAAACAAATTATATCTTAAATTCAGGGATACAGAAAGTACTGAATTTATTATCTTTAAGAAAAATGAGCCTTTTATAGAAGAGCAGTCAGAGCTAGCCGCTGTAGTTAAATGCACCATCAGTTTAGAGTCCCGGAGTTACAACAAAAGATCCAAATCCAGCCACCTTGAATTCTGTTGACTATTATCGACCACCAATTTAGTGTTGACCATTAATTGATCAAATTCTTTTATATGATCAGATTCTTTTATAACTGTAGCTCAGATTTATGAACAATAAATCTGAGCTACAGTTCAAGCAAGGGTCCTGATCCTTTTCGCCTGATACTCTTAAAATTAATGGTCTGTCTCAACTGCTTGAATGCAGATTCAATATAAAAAAGTATTTTAATTGGAATTTAAAAAGCATTTTTTTCCTGACTTTTAAAAAGCATTTTTTCCTGGCTTTTATTTCCTAACAATCAACTCCTTAAGAAATTCAACCATTATTAAATAATCTTCACTAGCATATTAATCACATTCTTTTAAAAATGTATCACCTGTAAAGCTAATGAATTTTAAAAATACGTGTTCTTTAAATTAAAAGTTTTTTGCTTACCACATTAGCAAATATATTTCTTTTATTGCCAGTGTAATATATGGAACTAGTATAGACTGTAGCAATATTAAATAAACGCATCCATGAATACATGAGTAGTCACAAGATGAGAAATTAGTTTTTTAAAGTATTTTTTGCATAAACATTAATTATAAAAATATTTAACTAATCTAATCTATTAATTATAAAAACCTACATCTTATATTGATTCACATGCTCTAAAATAATGAAATTATAGAATATAAACTACAATTTATGTATACAAATTGTCTATTATATGTAGAAATCAACAAATACTCATTAACAAAGGCATTCCTTACCTTAGACATGTTTCTGTAGATTCACACGAACTAAAAAAAGCCCAAAGTAATATATTGTTAGAAAAGACATTATGTCTTATGATCAAGTTAGGTTTGTACAGCAAATATACATACATAGATATACTTATATGGAAATAAAGCTAGTGAGCTCTAAGAGATTCATTTGTTGGTAAACATGTAAAATATACAAATTAGATTCTAGCCCATCATTCTCTTGGATAAGGGGAAAAAAACCCTGATTTTAAATCTATAACCAGAACTGCAGAATCTGTGAACTGAGGCTGGGATACTTCCCAGCAAACCTAAAATTAATTTATTAAAATCTGCAGGAAGTTCAGGAAAACTGAAGCAGAATAATATTTCAGGTAACATTATTTCTGGAAGAAAATAAAATAAAGCATAGCAGAAATTGTCTTATTTTTTCTTTCTGTGTGGTATAAATTTATTCCTCTGTAAAAATTAAGATATTATTTTACTATGTATTTATTTTAGACTTGAAGCATATCTGCATGAGGATATTCTTTCTTTAAAATCCTATAATCTCTCTCTCTCTCTCTTTCCTTAGCAGTAATGCTCTATTTGTAATACACCTGAGACATCTTGTGACCTGCTGGTAGCATTACATTTTCTAATTTTTTAAAAAAATTCAAGCTATATATCTTTTCTAAACATCTCTATATTTATGAATGAAGGTAAATATACATGTCCCATGATGATGTTGCCGAATCCAATCTGGGTCTGTCTCTAGGACCAGAGGTCTTCCGAGCTTTTGGACCCATGCTGTAACCCATCTTCAAGGAACTTCTCTCTAGCAATGTGTATCCCCAAATGAATTAGTTAAAAGGACAGCAAAAATAGGACTACAAAAGGCATAGCAGATGCAGATCCATTTTGATAGAAATAGAACCCAAATGTTACAATGAACGTTAGATTTTATTATATAGAATAATTATATAGGCCCATTTTTAAAAATATAAGTAATATTACATGTCAATTGTTTAAACTGAAAAACATACCGAGAACAAAGAACATGTCAGTTATTAAAGTCAGATTTTCAGTATATATCCTTAAATGGCAAATGTACCATTACTAATTATTCAAAACAAAAGTACTTAATAAAAAATTGAGGGAGTAAAATTAAGATATGAAGCATTGTGAAAATCAGTTTGAATACAATCAGTCATTCCAGATTTCTTTACAAAGAGAGAGCCAGAGAAAAGAACTCATCTGACAAAGGGTTCCTATACAACAGAATGGACAAAGGAAGCCTTTGAGAGGTGATTTTCTTCCTTAAAAAATCTGGAATGCAGGAAACAACAGTCCAGTGCCAGATATAGAAACTATACTCTGCTACAGAGAATTTTTCTGAAATGCCAGGATACTCGGCCCAAAAGGAATAAATAGGGAACAGAGAAAATCCTGACTCGTATTATTACTGGAAATTAATTTTGTGTGATCTGTAGGAACCACATTGATGTTTTCAAATGCTGGAAAAGAAAGATGCCCTAAATTGTAAAATAAATATAATCAAGATTTCTTTGCTTAGGAATGACCTAAGAAAACATCAACATCTCCAATGTAAGAAAGAGGAACAGTATCTTTCTTATCCCAGAGGTAGACTCCCCAACATGTCAAGCCGGGAATGTCACTTAAACCGAGCAATTTCTGCTTCCTCTCCTCCCCACGCATTTTTAAGTCTCTGCCTCTTTTCCACTTCTAACGGACTCTTTTGCATCCAGGTGACTTTTAGATGCATGAAATCCAAACTATCATGACTGTGGCGGTGTGTGTGTCTGTGTGAGGAGAACAAAAGATCAAAATCCGATTCATCGAAATCCTTTAGCATTTCTTAAGACAGAGTGGGAGGGTCCTCCAGCCAGGCACCCGAGAAATATATATTTTTTTTCTTTTAACACCCAGCCTCTCTTCAACACACTTTGTTGGGAGTCCAAGATGGAGCGGCGGAAAGTATGTTCAAATCGTCCCCCTCCTCCCCGCGACTTTTTCCTATATATATATATATTTCCTATATATCCTATATTTTGAGAGGCGGGATCCGTTTCCTAATCGTCCCCTGAAAACTGAGGAATGCACTGCTGACTCGCTAACCCTCTTGAACGAAATAACGCTCGTTACACCACAGCCTCCCCACCCGATTTTCCTCACCCTCCCTTTCCTCCCCCCCCCCTTTCCCTTATTGCACACCCAGGTACGGCAAGAACGGCGGCTTTAGAGAATGGGGAAAGGGGGGGGGATGCAAAGTAGGGAGTGGGACGGGCAGAAGGCGTCTGCTTAGAAAAAGCAGGAACGGTCCCCGCTCCCCGTTTGTCTCAGAATAAAAAAAAACTGCGGCCACCGTCACCACCGTATATCCCTGCAAGTTACCCAGTTCAAGAGAAGCCGCACAGCAGGAGATGCCGCACCTGGGAGCCGCCCCAAAGTCGATCCTAAATCGCCGCCGCCGCAATCTCCGAACCCGCCCAACCGCTTCACAGGGTCCCGCAACGCATGCGCAGGCTTGCCTCTCTTCACAAACGCATCTCCACTCAGCTCACGAGGCAAAATCATTTCTCCTCCCCCTTGAAAAAGCTTTCACGGCTTTCGCGCGCGACAAAACAACGTCAAGGCTGCTGGTAACAAAAGCGCGTGCGCTACCCTCCTGCCAACACGTCACCTCTTCCGGTTGCTATAGTGATTTATAAAAAAAAAAGGCAACGATGGAGGAGGAGCTTCCTCCTCCTGATATTAGCGGGTGACGGATAGCTTCTTTCCTTCACCAAGATGGCGGCAAGCTCTTCCTATTCGGCTTAGGAGTGTTGCGAGTCCATGCGAGGTAGGTTTGTATGGTTTTTCACATTCTGAGCACTATAAAAGAAAGAAATTAACAAGAGGCTGACGGAAGGATTGTTATGTAGGCACCGCTTTTATAAAAGATTGTTGTAAGGTCGAATTAGTGAATAGGCCTTCAAGTGCGGGAACTCTTCGGTAGTCCTCAATTGTAACTCTATGGTGTCTTTAATTTCAATTGGTTTCTGAGGGACACGTGATGTCTCTCGCGGTATTCTCATTCTGCACAGTGGAACGGTTTAGGCAAATGTATTATTAGAGGCATTTCTTGAAAAATACGAATCCTACCAATTTTGCCTTTGAATGCAATTCACCAAAAAGTGTGGACTTGACGAAGAATGTTGACCTTGCCTTTAGCAGCCGTGTAGAAACAAATCGACCTTGTAACTTTCTTACATACAATGCTCGGGTGCAAAGGAAGAAACGCCCCGATACCTTTACAGCCGACATAAAAGGAGGAGGCACTGTAGCTTTTTTCACTGCAGCATATCACCTAGCAAAATACAGTTTTTGAAAATACTAATTGGCCAGCTGTTATGGACACATGATTTTTCTCCAACTGATCTATCGTTGGAGACTTCTAAAGCAGAGAAATTAACAATTGTACTTATTTTAAAATGTGTACATCTATGTGCTGTTAAAAGATAATCTTAATTTTGTGCTGTTGAAATTAATGACAACATTTATTTATTTTATTTATTTTATTTATTGAATTTCTATACCGCCCTACTCCCGAAGGACTCAGGGTGGTGCACAGCCATGAAATAAAACACATAGATATACAAAATTTAAAATCGAATAAAATGAATTAAATAAATTTGGCTGAATTAATACCCAATTTAAAATACCCATATTTTAAAATCCATTAAAAATTTAGAATTTACACTTAAAAGGGAGAAGATTTAGGCGAGGCCAGCTTGATGAAACAAGCTATACGAAAGTATATTCCCACTAGAATGAGCCAATTCATTATTGCTTCCTAATATATGTTGTACATTTATTGCTATATTTATTGAATATTCAATACAGGCAGTCTTCAAGTTATCACTATTGGGACCAGAATGCCTCTTGCTAATCAAGGCAGTTAATTGAGTCATACCCAATTTTAAACCCTTTCTTTGCACAAGTTATTAAACAAATCACAAAGTTCTTAAGTGAATCATGTGGTCATTAACTGAATCTGGCTTCTCTCATTGACTTTACTTGTTGGAAGCCAGCTTTGTAGGTTGCAAAGGAGATCACATGACCGTAGGATGCTGCAACCATCCTAAATATGTGTCAGTTGCCAAGTGTTAAAATTTTGATCATGTTATTTTGGGGATGCTGTGACTGCTGTATTTGTGAGGACTGGTTTTAAGCCATTTTTTCATTGCCATTGTAAGTTGGTCACTGAATGGTTGTAAGCTGAGGACTATCTGCATAAACAATACATTTTATTTATAATTTAGACTTATAAGGCCACTCAGCTCAGGATGGTGCACGGATTAAAAAAAGTTAAATGGGGAGAACACATTTCTTTACCAAAACAGATACTGAATGCCAGATAAGCACCCCAATCTTGGGGAAAGCAAACAGACTTTCCATGATTGATTAAAAGCTTATGGAATTGGTGCAGTCTGAATCTGGTGGGATGGGGTGGGTGATGCTTTGACGAAGAAAGTACATTTACTACGTTCCATCAGATGGCATTTCTTAGTGGATGGAATCTAAAACGCCATTGTGTCAGATTTTATGGGGTGGATAGAAATAATGAATGAGAAACAGCATGTCAGATAACTTGGCCATAGGGCTATATATATGAATAACTAGCAACTTGGATATGTAAATTATTAAAAGTAATTAATAATACTAGTGAGAAAATATTTTAATCACATAGTTTCATATTTGAAACAGTTGTTTTCTATTCAAAATTAGTTGTTTTAGTTATATTGATAAGGTTTCAAACTTAAACTGGTGCCAGTCTCTAAAATGGCCCAAAGAGCCAGTTTCACATATGAAGCAATTATTTGGAATTTCCTAATTCTAAAGCATATGATTTGAGTTTAATATGGTGATTAAGGTATTAAGTTAGAAACCAGGAGTTTACGAGTTCTGGTCCCGCCTTGGGCATAAAGCCACCTGGGTGATCTTTCAGACAGTCATTCTTAGCCCTAGGAAGGACACAATAGCAAGCCACTTCTGGGGAGCGGTGGGGGGAGGAAAGTTGCCAAGAAAATTGCAGGGACTTGTCCAAGCAATTACCAGGAGTCAACACTGAGTTGAAGGCACAAAAAATGCTAAACCATGTAAACTAAAAACAACTATATTGAATGATACCTTGGGATAATGGTAAAAAAATATTTGAGAAGGCTATAGTTCTGCTTTGCTGTCTTACTGTGGCAGTGACTGATCTTGAGAAGAAATGAAGCAAGCTGGGAGCTTATGTCAAGAGTACATACGGCCAGCAGGGTCACCCAGGGTAATGAAGGTAATCTCAGATGTCCAGCTAAAGCAAGCAAGCTTCTATATTGGGCAGGAGTGATACAGGAAAATGCTAGAGGTGGATATTCACTTTAGTGATATTGGCAATGGCATCATTTCAGACTGCATAGAAGTCACTGGTAAACCTCTTCTGTACTTTATACAAACATACACACACAAACATGAATAGACAATATAAAATTATTGACAATATAGAAGCTGTATGATGGGTCCTTCAGGTTTGATGGCATTGACTATGCTACTAGGAGCAACTAAGGAGCTTTTAATATGCCAGTGGTAATTATGATACAGCTAGACTAAAGCTTCAAGAGGTATAATTGCAGAAAAAGAAAATTCAAAGCTGCTAAAGCAGAATTGGGAATGTGGAATGTATGAAGCTGAATGTGAGAATGGTCAATACAGTGAATGATGAAATGAAGCATTTATATTTTGACATCTCCAGCATCAGTAAATGGGCTGGAAATGGATGCTTTTGATCAGAAGATCATAATGTTTATCATTTAGACACAAACAGGAAAAAACAAGGAACAATGTTGATAAAGTTCATGCTGCATCTTCTGATATAGCAAAAAGGGAGCTTGGTCAGCTTTATCCTCAAGTTCAAGCAAGCAAGGAAGATGTGCCGCTTGTGGGTAGAAACTGGAATACCAACGTTAAAAATATTGAGGAGAAAAATGTAATTAGATTATATGACTTAGGAAACTAAAATGATTGAGGAGAATTATTTAAAGCTCAGTTATAACCGCAAAGACATGGCTACGAAAGGAAACTGGATGTTGGAACAAATGACAGAAATTGCCAAGAAGAGAAACCAAAGCCAAGAATGACAAATATCTTAGAACAGAAAATATCAGTAAACTGTTAAAAGAGACAAAGAAGGAATATTACAACAACATATTTAAAGACACCAAGAATCAAAGTGAACAAAGTAGCCAAATGAGATCTCAACACTCAGAAGATGATTCCAACTTTCCATTGGTGTGCTAAAGGTTATCAATGGACAGATTAAATGATTCAAAGAAGATCAGAGGTGAAAGTATACTGAAATTCTGTACAGTAGAAAAGTCAAAATTAAGACATCTTAGAATATATTCCATATTTACAAGAAACTAGTACTAGAAGTGAAGTTAGGTCTGCAGTCTGGTTATTTCAAAATTAGAAGGCTACAAGAATTGTCAAATATGTAAAGAAAATGCAATGGAAGAAAATCTGTAAAGGTTCTAACCCAAGTATGTCAGCAAATCTGGAAAACGACAGTGGCCAACAGATTGGGAGAGGTTAGTATAAATACCAATATCAAAAAGGGCGGAAAAAAGGAGACAGTGTGCAGACTATTATACAGCATTCTTAATTTGATATGTTAGCACAATTGTGCATAGAGTTATACAATGCTGATTAGAGCTCTTCATAGAAAGGCTGGCTTTAGAAAAGGCCGAGGAACATAAGACATTATTGCTGATGCTTACTAGATGAGTGAGAAAGCAAACAAAAAGAAGTCAATGTGTACTTTGTTGATTACAAAAAGGTGTTCAAAATATGCTTAGGAAAATGGGAACCCCAGAGCATCTCACTGTCCTCAGACAAAATCTATGCACAAGTCAAGAAGCCACAGTCCAAATGGCACATGATCAAATAAAGTAGCTGTAGTTCAAGGGAAAAAAAACAATAACTCTGAATGTAGGCCATTTAGACAATATTATTCTCCTTAAGACACATGTGAAGACCTAGTTCTGGATAAGGCTCTAAGACTGAGAATGATGGAAGGAAAGAGAAGATAAAAGGCAGCAAGGTGGATAGACTCACTTAAGTAGTGATGAGTACATTATTGGAAGAGCTGAAGACAGATCATCATGGAGAATATCTAAATTATATGGTTGCTAATAGGTGACATCAACTTGATGACATGTAATCAGATCAATTAAATTTTGTTTTTAAAATTCTTTCTTTTTGAGGATTTTTATTTAATCCCAACATGATGTTCCTTTTCTTCTTAGCTCATTCACTCTTAATATATTTTTTGTGATTCAATCCTCATTTTGTCTGAATTATAAAACCGCCTCAAAATACTTCATTTGTTCTAGTTGTTTATTTTTCTATCCATTCAATGTTCATTTATCACCCCTCTGTTTTTATTATTAAAAAGAAAAAAAAATGAAGCCGTGCCTCTATCATCATCAAAGGAATCAC